AGGTGTTCTGGTCCACCTGTTCTCCAGGTGTTCTGGTCCACCTGTTCACATGTGTTCTGGTCCACTTGTTCCCAGGTGTTCTGGTCCACCTGTCCACATGTGTTCTGTTCCACCTGTTCTCCAGGTGTTCTGGTCCACCTGTTCACAGGAGTTCTGAACCACCTGTCCGCATGTGTTCTGGTCCATCTGTCCACAGGTGTTCTGGTCCATCTGTCCACATGTGTTCTGGTCCAACTCTTCCCAGGTGTTACAGTTCACCTATCCACAGGTGTTCTGGTCTACCTGTCCATAGGGGTTCTGGTCCACCTGTCCACAGGTTTTCTGGTCTACCTGTCCACAGGTTTTCTGGTCTACCTGTCTACAGGTTTTCTGGTTCACCTGTTCCCAGATGTTCTGCTCCACCTCTTCCCAGGCATTCTGGTCCACCTGTCCGCAGGTGTTCTGGTCCACCTGTTCCCAGATGTTTTGGTCCACCTGTTCCCAGATGTCCTGCTTCACCTCTTCCCAGGCATTCTGGTCCACCTGTCCACAGGTGTTCTGGTTAACCTGTTCCCAGGTGTTGTGGTCCACCTGTTTCCAAATGTTTTGGTCCACCTGTTCCCAGCTGTTCTGCTCCACCTGTTCCCAGGTGTTGTGGTCCACCTGTTCCCAAATGTTTTGGTCCACCTGTTCCCAGCTGTTCTGCTCCACCTGTTCTCCAGGTTTTCTGCTCCACCTGTTCCCAGATGTTCTGGTCCACTCCTCATGGTCAATCTGCTCTAGCTATCTTAGGTATGAAGGTTCCTCTTCCAGATGTTTCAGCTCCTTCCGCAGATGTTTAAAAGGAGTCAAGGTTCTTGCACTCTCCATCCGAAGTGCCGATATCGGCTCTCATTAACGTAGTTACTTAACAAAAACTGCTTAATTTAGTTTTCAGAGTAGCTCCGCCCCTTCTAGACAAAAGGCGGGGCAAAACTTTTTCTCACAGACCAAGTATTGTTTGATTGGTCAGAAGTTTGTGGGCGTGGTCATCAATGCAGAAATGCGCTCGGACATTCAGCTGCATGATTAACCAAACACACTAAATTAGTCAAACGGCCACAAACTCCTGGATGGAGTTGGTGCACACATCGTGCACGGAGGAGTCTGTCTGCTGAAAAGTGTGGCGCGTTCTTCATGATTGATTTGAGGCTAAACGGCGGCTGCAGGGACGGAGTGGCGATTCTGGTGAGAAGAATCCCGCGTGGTGACGTATACGGCAGCAGGAGGGGTTTTCCCAGGAGCTCTGCACTTGTGTCTCGTACGCTATGACATCAGGGCTCAAAGACCCTTGAGAATAGTCCAGTGTCTGGTTCTGATCCATTCTTGGGTGTTGGAGCTGTGTTTTGGGCCTTTGTTCTGACCTATGACCTGAGACTGAGACCAGGCAGCACATTTCGCTCTGGAATGCCTTGATAGTCTTGAGATTTCAGTACGCTGCACAGATTAAGAAGCAGTAAAGCAGGACCAGAACAGAACCGAGACTCCTCCATGTTCCACAGAAGGTATCGGGTTCTGTTCGTTTAGTTTTTGGGTCTGTGAACCCAGAGCTGGTGGGACTCGTTGTTAAAAAGCTCCAGTTTGAGGCTTGTCAGTGTCCGTTCTGAGCCAACGCTGGACAATAATTTTCTTTCTAATAAATTTCCTGAAACAACTCTGTCTTCAGATTCATAGCTTCAGTGTGTTACACACCGTGATACCCAACAGCCCTGTGACTACCTGACAGACTGACTGATTATGGACTGAAGACACCCGACATGCTGATTACAGGACACAGCTTGGTTCAGCATGTCCCTGTGGGATATTTTCTATCTTTTTGAGGGCTACCACCCTATTTGTCAAGTTTATCCACGTCTGTAAATATAAATATTATAACTTATTGAGGTCCGTTCTCTTCTCCACTGCCTCCTTCATCTTCTGAGTCATGTTCATTGTCTTTGAAGCTGAACTCCTGTGTGCAAGACAATGTAGTTTCTGATTCAGACTAAATTATTCTTCCACAGGAACCTCCCTGACAAAGGAAGAGCCAAGCATTGTGGGAGCTGAGGGGACAATCGAGGATGAGCTACGCATCCTGATGGAGCAAGAAGAGGAAAGATGCAAAGAAGAAGAAGAGAAGGAGAGAAAAAGACAAAAAGAGTGGGAAAAAGTGACAGAAAACTTCCTGACTGAGAGAGTGGGGGAAGGAAAGAGACAGAGGATGGAAAAAGAAGTGGAGATGTTGAGGGAACGGGAGATGTTAGGCTGTGAACTGAGAGAAGACGAACTCAGAGGTGCTGAGAGAAACGATGGAAGGCAGCAGACCTTCAGGATGTTTCAGGAGGTTCAGAAGGAAAATGAGGAGAAACTGTCCATCCTGATGGAGAAAGAGGAGCGAATACATAAAGAGAAGGAAGAAATACAGAAACAAATGAAGGGAATGTATGAAAGAGCAATTCAGAGTATTTTAGAGCGAGTGCAGAATGAGAGAGACAAGGACAAGGAGGAGAGACAAAGGGAGATGGCAGCCATGATGGCTACGTTCAAGCAACAGAGAGAACGAGAAGTCAAAGAGCAAGAAGACAGAATCAGAAATATTGTGGAGAAAAATGCAAGGAAAACCTTGGAGATGTTTCAGGAAGCCCAGAAATCAAACGAGGAGACAAAACGACAGATTCAGAGGGAGAAAGAGAGAGATAAGATGGAGCTGGAGAGAAAATTAGAGGAAATGTGCAACAAAGTGATCCAGAAAGTCACGGAACAACTCCTGACTGAGAGGGAGAGGAGCAAGAGGGAGGAGGAGAGGAAGAGAAAGGGAGAGGAAGAAAGGAAAGGAGAAGCCAAGAAAGAGATGGCAGCCACGATGGCTGCAAAACAGAGAGGAACAGAAGTGAGGGAGCAAGAAGAAAGGTTCAGAAGTGATGTGGAGAAAAACGCAGGCAAACAATATGAGATGTTCCCGGAGGTTCAGGGAGCAAACGAGAAGAAGAACCCACCGAATGTAAGAGAGAGAGTGGAGAGATTAAACAAAAAGGAGGAGCAGAAGGAGAGACAACCGCAGAGTTGGTGGGAGGACAGGAATAAAAACACACACGAGCTAAATTAAAAACAGTCGGATTCTCTGTAATATTCCATAACTCTCTGATAAACTTCTTTTTCTTTTTCTGTTCTGTTTTAGTTTCACTTCCTGTTTTTTTTTTCTGTTTTGTTTGTTGATTGATCCAGAGCAGGCGTCTGCAACCTTTATGATCAAAAGAGACATTTTTACGCCTTCGTTCACTCCATGAAGCGTGTCTGGAGCCGTAACCACCTGCTACAACTGTGGTTATCAACTGGTGGCCCATGGGCCACTTTGGGTTTGCTGGAAGGGGCTTTTGTTGCCAGTAGGGGTGAAATTATAAAACAAACAAAAAAAAAATCTAATGATTTTAACATTTATTAAAGTAAAAGACCAGATTCTTGTAAAGAATTGGGGAAATAAATCAGTTTTTACCATTAAAAAAAAAAATCTATGCAGACAGTTCTTCATGTAAAGAAATAAAGCATCAAGCTAAAGTCGCTCCAGTGTTCACATATTTACAAAAGAAATGGCAGGAAAACTGTATGAACTAAACTTTTTTCTTGTTTGTATAACCAATAAAATTTAGTTTTACGTCAATTATGTCAGTTTTGGTCAAAGCTTGAAAGAGCCGCTGAAGAGGGACCAAAGAGCCGCATGTGGCTCCGCAGGTTGCAGACCCCTGATCCAGACCATCAGTCTGCCTCTTGAATCATCAGTTTTGTTTTTATACAACACTGAAGCACGCTCATTATACGGCACATATTTGCTGTACTTTAATGTCTGCAGGTAAATGTAACGAACCCTGACGCTTAAATGTTTGAAAATTAAAATATAAATATTGCACATCGCTTGATTTAACTAAAAAAATGAGTCTGCTTCACCAGAGGAACTCCACATTACAAGGGTTTTATTAACAGATGGTAATGTTTTACTAACTCACAATAATCTATTTGAAATCACGAATCAATCATCTCCAAAGTGGCCATTATTTAAGTAACGTATTTTTCCAACTATAAGACGCAGTTAAAATCCTTTAATTTTCTCAAAAATCGACAGTGAGCCTTAATAATCTTAATTAATATGTATTAATTCTGGTTGTGCTTACTGACCTTGAACTGATTTTATGTGGTTATTGTAAATGAGTTGAATAAAGTTTGACTTATCTGACTGTTTTATTTTTGCTTAATGCGCTTTATAGTCCAAAAAATATGGTATTTTTTCTTCAGTGTTTCCAGTCAGAGTTTTGGACCCTGTTTGTTAAAGTAAAATCTTTTCTGTTCAAAGTTATTGTCACCAAACACAGACTGAGCTCAAGTTCTGTATAAAAACTGAAATACTGAGTGAGTTATTATTTACCATCTCATGAGAAAAGTCGTAAACATGTTCACTGAAACAATAAAGAGGTTTTACAAACTTGTTCAGATATTTCTGTTGATGAAATTGACCAGTTTTTCTTTTTATTTGTTGCTTTGCTCATGAAACAACTTTGAAGGAACCTGCAGATTTTCTGCACCTAACATCTCAAAAAGAAAGTTGATGGTCATCGGTGTACCTCTTTATAATTTAGAAGTTACAAAAACTAAAATAAAAATATTTTGTTTTCACTCCAAACTGTGTCAGTTTGTGATAGTTTTATGAATAAGTTGTGGCTAATGTTAAAACAAGTGTTTAAATGGGGATGATAAAATCCTTGGTGTGCTCTTTCCCTATTGGAACATCATCCAGGTACGTCCTGATGAATGCTCAATAATCCAGGGAGATAAATCCAAAACACTTCTTTTGGATAAAAGGCGAAACGTTTCAACATTGAAGAACCCGTCCAGAGGACCTGACTCAACCTTGTCAGATAATCCAGGTACTTTCACCGTGACTCATTATGACCCTCGTCAACACAGAGCCCTGGGTGAGCGACAACTCTAACCGTCGCCTTAAAATGAAACAAAACCCAAAAGTTGCAAAATACATTCTAAAAGCTGAAAGTAGCAAAAGTCTTGCTGAATGTCAAAATTACTAAAATGCTAAAGTTGCAAGAGTTGCTTAAATGTAAAAGTAGCTAGATAAAAGCTTAAAAAGTGCACTTATTAGCTAAAAGTATAACAAAGTTGGCTAAATGCTTGGAAGTGACAAAAGGTTAAAAGAAGAATAGTAGCTCAAAGCAACTACATGATAGCTAAAAGTTAAAAGTGGCAAAATGCTAGCTACCAGAAGGCTATAAGAGTCCAGGAAAGGGACACAGATAAACAGGAAGTGGTCCAGATATAGCTTCTATCGCCCATGTCTTGTTCCTATGGGGAGAAACAAACAAAGGAAACGTGTTAATGATTGAAATGATTACAAATACAAACATGCACAGTTTGCGTAGTGAGTAAAGACAGCAGCAGTGAGGAGCTGCAGCTTGTCCTCCAGCAATCTATGCCAAAACAGCAGAACTGAGGCGTAGCTCAGTGAACCCAAGGCAGCCCTAACTATAGGATTTTATTAGAACCAACGCCATAAGTCTAAAGGTAGACAGTCAGCCTGAGAGGAGAGGAGCCTGTAACTGAAAGCTCTGCTTCCCATTCTACATTTAGAAACTCTAGGAACCACAAGTAAACCTGCAGTCTGAGAGGGAAAAGCCCTGCTGTAAGATGGAATTTGGAAGAGCTTTAGGAAGAAGTAGGGTTTTAAATTCTAGTGTGAGTTTTAAAAGAAGCCAGTGTAGAGAAGCTGAAGTGAAAATAAGTTTGTGAAAGGTTGCCAAGTCTGTTCGTGAAGTGCTCGCAGCCAATGACCTCAGCCTCAGCTGAACTTTAAAACAGAGAGCAGTACTAGCACTGAGCATCAACGTACAACACTCTCGAACATTAAAAAGTTACAAACTACAGAAACTGTTATTTATACATTGCTAGTGTACACATGAAAGAATTAAAAATGATCAGATAAACAGCATGCGAACATTAACAGTGCCTTGTTATCTCCTTCATAACTGCTGAATACCTCAATGACAAACTAACTGGGGTTTATCATTAATCAAAGTTCACTTTAACTGCTCTGACCAGAACCAGAACCACCACCAAATGTCTCCACCCATGAGACCTGTAGGAAAACCAACATGCATGCATCAGGATATGTTGTTACCAGCGTTTGGGTGAAATTATGACTCTGGTTCTCTTTGATGGTTGAAAGCAACATCAGTTTAACTCCTGTATCATCATCAGATTGGAAGGTTTAAACAAGACCACAACATTTCACCTCCTCGTTCATTCATTCGACCTTTATTTACACAGGTTAGTCTCACTGAGTCACCAGGACTCATTTACAAGAGACACCTGTTTGAAACAAAGAACACAGATGAGGCACAGACAACCACAGACAATCACATAAAATGAAAAAGTAAATAGAAGAAATTAAATCAAAACAAAACAACTACATTATAAAGCGATGTAGAAAACTAATAGGAACTGTGTTGTTTTTTTTCCATGAACTTAACAGTTGTTTAAAATCCCTTAGAGGTCGAGATCGAGAGCTTAGATCTTTTTACAAGGTGTTCCAGGAAACAGGAGCGGAGTGAGACTTTTGCCTAGTTTGGTCCGCACTGAGGGTGCGCTGCATGTAATGATGTCCTTGTTTGTTTACTTTTAACACAGAAAGTATGTACAAAAGTAAACTCATTGTTTACTTTTGTTTTTGTATCTTTTTACTTTTCAAAATAATTACCTTTATTTACAAAAAAAAATTCTGCATTAATGAGATCTCAACTCTTTTATAAACATCCCTTTTTCAAGATACTTCTGCTACTAATGCTTCTGCTAATGCTAACTCTGCTAATGATAAAGCAAATATTAATTCTGCTGATGCTATTTCTACTCATGCTAATACTACTTATTTTACTTTAGCTAGCATTTTGCTACTTTTAGCTAACAATGTGTTACTTTTAGCTAGTGGCTGTTTGAGCTGAGCTAGCCCCTTGCTACTTTAACCAGAGCTCAGCTCTTTGCCACTGTTCTTCTCTTTTTAGCTTTTAGCATCCGTTCTGCAAATGTTAGCTTGTGTCTATCCATCCGTCCATCCATTATCTTTACCCGCTTCTTCGTTTTTTGGGGGGTCGTGGGGGTCACTGGTGCTCATATCCAGCAGTCACTGTGCGAGAGACAGGGGACACCTTGGACAGGTCTCCAGTCCATCACAGGGACACAGAGACAAACGAGACAAACAACCATTCACTCTCTCACTCACACCTAGGTTCAATTTAGAGTTACCAATCAGCCTAACATGCATGTTTTTGGTCTGTGGGAGGAAACCGGAGCACCCGGAGAAAACCCACGCATGCACGGAGAGAACATGCAAACTCCACCCTGAAAGGTCCAGGACCAGGATTTGAACCGGAAACCTTCTTGCTGAGAGGCAGCAGCTCTACCAACTGATCCACAGTGTCGCCCAGCTTCTGTTCACTTTGCTTTAAAATTAAAAACACCGTTTCAGCTTCTTCAGCAAATTTAGGCAAATTCACTCCAGAATCAGCGTTCACGCTGCGTGTTTGCAGGAAAGGCGACTTCTTTCGTTAAATGTGTTATTTGCATGATAAAAATTAGTTTTGTTACTTCTGTGTTAGTTATATCTGCAGTTATAAGATGTGCACGGTACAGTACTGGAGTGTTAGGGGGGTTTCCGTTTCAGCCACAGTGCTGCCTTTTCCTGTAAATGCTGAAGTGCAGGAGAAACTGTTTCACTTTCAGTCTGAAAATGAAAAGCCTGTGAGGAGGTGGGGTCTGCTGCAGGCTGTGTATAAAAGGAGCACACGTCAGCTGTAAACAAGTCCACACGCTGAATCAAGGTCCCCCCTCAGCAGGCAAGCAGCTCTGGTAAGAACTCCATTCATTGTTTTACTCCAATGAGTCCAATCTGATCCTCAGAATAAAGTGGTTTGATTATGATAAGCTATCTTTAAATGAAGAAGAAAAAACTAAATTTATGGTATTTTCAGGTAATCGGATTTAAAATAATGTAAAGTTAAATATAAATGGAGTTGAAATCGACAGAGTTTATGAGACAGAATTTTTAGTTATCATTCTGGACTACAAACTTAGTTGGAAGCCTAATATTGAATATATTAAAAATAAAATTGCAACAACTATTGGAATATTGTTTAAAATAAAAGATTTAATAAATGTAAAAGACTTGCATATTATATACTCTTCCTTGATTATGTCCTACTTGTCATATTGCTCAGAAATATGGGGAAATGCAAACAAAACTACTATTGACATATTAATAAAGTTACAATAAACGCAATTAGACTTTATTAATAAAGTGGGATATTGTGAACCAACTAATAAAACCTTTATTCAAAGTAATACTTTAAAAATTAATGACGTTGTTTATATAAAAATACTGGAAATAATGTATAAAGCACTTCCTTCTGGAATTCAGAAATTATTTAAGTTGAGAGAGCGAGAGTAAACATAATTTACGAGGTTTGTTAATATTTGAACAAGCTAAAGAGAAAAGTAAAGTAAAATCTAGATGTACTTCAGTTGTTGGTGTGAAACTGTGGAATTAATTGAATGATGATTTCAAATTATATGGGTTTTTTTTTTGGTGAGCTTTAAAAGAGCCTTAAAATGTAAAATTATAAAAGCTTATGGAAATGTTATGTAGATGTATATAGGTATTGTGTGACCATGTATGTATGTAATGTGAGTATGTGTATGAATTATATACATGCATATTTAAATATATGGTAAATGTGTGTATGTGTACTTATGTGTATATGTGGACAGTAGATATCTGTCATTATGTATGAACAGGGTAGGCAAGTATAAGCCTTGGCTTCAGCCTATTCCTTTTTTGGTAAATTATTGATTTACCATTTTATATTGTTTTCCTTTTTTTTTATTTTTGTAATGTTTTTAATTTACCAAAGTTGAGTTGAGTTCTTAACTCCATCACTTTCTACCTGTTCTCTTCAATCAGATGCTGTTACTTCACTGAGCGGCCGTTGAGTTTCTATCGTTCGTCTTCCACAGGAGCCATGCTGATAAACGACGCTGAGCTGAGGATGGTGATGGTCGGGAAGACCGGGATTGGGAAGAGCGCCACCGGAAACACCATTCTGGGTCGAGACTGCTTCCAGTCCAGGTGCAGCCCCAGGTCTTTGACGGAGGAGTGTGAGAAAGGTCGGACTGAGATAAATGGACAAAAGGTGGTCGTCATCGACACTCCGGGTCTACTTGACACCAGGTTTGGTGAGGAGAAAACAACCAAAGATCTGGGCCAGTGCATCAACTACGCTGCTCCTGGACCACACATCTTCCTGGTGGTCATCTCACTGAGCAGGTTCACTGCAGAGGAGAAGCAGACGGTGCAGAAGATTCAAGAAGTCTTCGGTGAGGCTGCAAACAGATACAGCATGGTCCTCTTTACTCACGGAGACAACCTGGAAGGCACCACTATTGAAAGGTTCTTGTCTGAAAGTCCAGACCTGCAGGAGCTCGTGGTCAGATGCAACGGTCAGTACCACTTGTTCAACAACAGGCTGAAGGGTGACAACTCTCAGGTCATCCAGCTCCTGCAGAAGATCAGAGACATTGTCCAGAAGAACGGGGGAAGCCACTACACCAACGAGATGTTCCAGGAGGCTGAGAGGCTGATAGAAGAGGAGAAACAGCGCATCCTGAAGGAGAAGGAGGAGAAGATACGCAAAGAGAAGGAAGCACTGGAGCGAAAGATCCAGGAGAAGTATGAAAAGGAAATTCAGAAGATGAATCAAATGCTTCAGGCCGAGAGAGAGAGGGAGAAGAGGGAGAGAGAGGAGGAGAGGAAGAAGGAGAGGGAGGAGATGGGTGAGGAGAAGAGGAGGGAGTGGGAGAGGATGAAGGAGGAGAGACAGAGAGAAAGAGAGGAGCGAAAGAAGGAGATGGAAGCCATGGTGTATGAATTAAAGGCGGATCAAGAAAAAGAAATTAGGAAACAAAAAGAGCAGCTGGAGACCGAGTACGTAGAGAAAGCTCGAGCTAAAGCCGAGAAAACGGGGATTCTGGGGAGGATCGGGAAGTTTTTTCATCGTATCGGAGACGCAGCAGTGGAGCTGTTTACATGATTCAGAACCTGGAGCGCTTTAAATGAGGAAAACATCAGAGTAATTTTATTTTGTTAACCTTTATTTAATCAGGCAACTCCCACTGAGGTCACAGAGGTGACGTGCATGCTTTTGGAAATTCACGTTCATTTGTTTGTATTTACAAACTGAAACATGTGGCGCTAAACTGACACAGTTTTTATTTCCGTTATTATTTTTAAGTTGCTGCGTGAACGTAACGTTGTTTTCCTGTTGTTGTTTTTAATCCCGTTTAGCTGTTTTTACCTTGCAAATGTTCACGTTCCGTTCTGATTTCATGGAGTTAATAAGAATTCACACAAACTCGGTTTCTCACGTCCACGTCAATCTTTGATTTGCCGTTCACCGTTTGTGATCAATGTATTGATTTTGGATTGTTTGTTCTCATCTGTTCCGATCAGTATGTAAGCTGTTAATCCGTGCTGAGCTCTCACAGAAATAAAGACGCTTGTTTTCACATAAGCCTTTGTCGAAGTGATTCATCTGACCAGAATGAGGAGGAAACGCTTTTAGATGAACCGACAGCAGCTGAAAGGAAGAAACGGTGAAAAGGAGGAAGAGATGCGAAGAGAAAAAGCTAAAAGGAGAAATAAAGTTTTATTAATCTGTTCTCTGTCGCCGTGTGTAGCAAATAAATAAAGGAAAAGTAACAAACATGACATCAAAGTTCATGCGCAATCATCCAGGTACAAAATCCAACAATGGTCAGTCAGGTCGTCTGGATAGTTTATTTTTTGTGGAAAGACGTTTCGCCCTCTATCCAGAGGGCTTCATCAGTCTGAGGAGTCCCAAGTAAACTGTTTCCCCACTAAGCAGTACACTCCTTTAGTGGACCAACCGGTTTGCTGGAGATAAGATGGTTTCTGGGGGCTGTCCTGTCCCCCATCGAAACCTCCCAGGCAGGCAGCCACAGCCAAAGTGGTTCAAGACACCAAAGTTCATGCGCAATCATCCAGGTACAAAACCCAACAATGGTCAGTCAGGTCTTTCCACAAAAAAGAAACTGTCCATTATTGGATTTTGTACCTGGTTGATTGAGCATGAACTTTGATGTGGTCAGTGTACATATATTTATTTGGTGGTGGCCATCTTGGATATTGATTTGGCAAACCCGGTTTTTGATAGTGACCTTTCTAATGCCAAGATTCAGCTACAGACCAAACTGGAAGTAGGTACCTCACTTGTTTTTCATGTTATTCATGCTCACAACGCAAACGGACTGTTAGAATGTGTCCTCTTGGTTTCATAACGGGGGACAACAAACATGTTAGCCAAAGAAGGAAAGTGAAACGCAACAACAAACAAAAAATAACCACTAAAATATGATCTTCATAGGTCTGTGTGTTAGCCGACTCACCGCAAGAACAGCCGAATGTCTGGAATCAACGAGCGACTCGGGAGAACTAAGACCACCTCAGAGAGTGACTCAGATGAACTCACATCCATAAAGGGAAGATGGATTTAATATCTCTCACAGCAACAGGTTCAAATTAAATTCTACAAGCAGCCCAAGAGGTGCGCCGTACCCTCTCAGATTCTGTGAAGAAACTCGTTTTATTACATGATTTATGAAAAGGGTCAAACCTATTCATCATCATAAAGTGGAGCCTTTGATTTTTGTTACCTCCGGTCTTTATTAGAATAACAGGTGTTTAAAAACCCCCTATGACCTGATGAATGTGTGCTGGTGGGATGGAGTGCTGGGGGCTATCACTTCTGCCAGAGGGCTCCCGTTTCCTGTAAACACAACAGGATAATAATAATAATAATAATGAATTTAATTTGTAACGCACTTTTCATTAACAAAAATCTCAAAGGATGGGGCTGCAGAGGAAACTGTTTCAGTTTCGATTTGACTGTGGAAGTCCCAAGGACAGGACTGTGAGGAGGTGTGGCCTGCTGCAGGTTGGCAGGCCTTCAAAAAGGAGACAGTCTGCACTTCACTTCAGCATCAACTCTTTAAACACGTCGACGGACGGAAACAAGTTCACTCCCCGGCAGGAGAACAGCTTTGGTAAGTTATGATTTTTATAACACAGGTGAATCCAATCTGACCACACCGTATGCCACTTTAATCAGACAAACAGGCAGAATATTGTTTTTAAGACTTTTCTCGTGGACGTGATGTCATCACTGCACCTGCTCAGCTCTCGCCTGTCTCCCCAGAGGCAGCTGAACTCCAGAGCTCAACATGAAAACGGATGTTTATCCGGTCTCAAACATTCTTGTTGTGCAGGAGCCATGCTGGTAAACAACAACGAGCTGAGGATCGTGATGGTCGGGAAGACCGGGATTGGGAAGAGCGCCACCGGAACACCATTCTGGGTCGAGACTGCTTCGAGTCCAAGTGCAGTCCCATGTCTTTAACCATGCACTGTGTCAAAGGTCGGACCGAGATAGACGGACAGAAGGTGGCCGTCATCGACACGCCGGGGTTTTTTGACACCAGGTTTGACGAGGAGAAAACAAGTAAAGATCTGGGCCAGTGCATCAACTACGCTGCTCCTGGACCACACATCTTCCTGGTGATCATCTCACTGAGCAGGTTCACTGCAGAGGAGAAGCAGACGGTGCAGAAGATCCAACAGATCTTTGGTGAGGCTGCAGACACATACAGCAAGGTCCTCTTTACTCACGGAGACAACCTGCAAGGCACCACTATCGAAAGGTTCTTGTCTGAAAGTCCAGACCTGCAGGAGCTCGTGGTCAGATGTAACGGTCAGTACCACGTGTTCAACAACAGGCTGAAGGGTGACAACTCTCAGGTCGTCCAGCTCCTGCAGAAGATCAGAGACATTGTCCAGAGGAACGGAGGAAGCCACTACACCAATGAGATGTTCCAGGAGGCTGAGAGGATGATAGAAGAGGAGAAACAGCGCATCCTGAAGGAGAAGGAGGAGAAGATACGCAGAGAGAGGGAAGCACTGGGGCAACAGATCCAGGAGAAGTATGACAAGGAAATTCAGAAGATGAGTGAAATGTTCAAGGCCGAGAGAGAGAGGGAGAAGAGGGAGAGAGAGGAGGAGAGGAAGAGGGAGAGGGAGGAGAGGGACGAGGAGAAGAGGAGGGAGTGGGAGAGGATGAAGGAGGAGAGACAGAGAGAAAGGGAGGAGAGTGAAAGGGAGATAAGAAACGCCATGAAGGAACTAAACGAGCAGCACGAGAGAGAGATCCGAGAACACAAAGAGCGGCTGGAGGCCCAACACGAGTCTGCAGCTCGAGACGAAGCCGAGCGCTCCGGTCCGCTCAAGTGTTTGATGGACATTGTCAACGTCTTGATGACAGGACTAGGAAACGTTCTGACATCTAAACTGATGAAAAAAGTCGAAGGTCTGTGAGCAGATGGGAGGCGGTGGAGTCTGGACGAGCTGCTCTGGATTCAAACGTCCTCGTCGAGGAGCTCAGGTCAGATTTCACCTGCGATCCTCGCCCACAGGCGCAGCTGCTCGTTGTCGTCCCACCGAAGACATAGCTAAACAGGAAGTGCTTTTCTCAGCCTGTAGAACCCGGAGCATTGTGGGCGGAGCAACAAAGTGTTACGTTTTGAACAAGTTCAAGATAAAATGTTAACAAAAGACAACATTTATGGTTCTGGATACTGTTTGCCTGTTACAAATCGACTGACTGAAACATGAACAATACATCTTTGAACATCTGGAGAGCGTGCACGAGTATCTGTAAACATCTGGAGAGCGTGCACAAGTGTCTGCTGAATGAGTTAAAAACACAAACACAAGTTTTTACATAGATTTAGTTTGCTTAATTTTACTTATAGATGTAACAGCTGAGTGAGTTTGTGTCTTTTATTCTCCATCATCGCTGGCAAAGTGTTTTTTCTGTTTCTTGTGTAATTTGATTTGATTTTAGTTTGTTTGCTGTCGGATTTATTGGGTTTAAATTGTTATTTCTACAGGTCTGGACCTGATCCGTTGTCTTGTTCAGAGCTCGGACAGAAATACATTTGATTGTAAGTTTGTCACAAACCTTATTGCAGTTTCCACAATAAAAATCTGCAGAAACTTTTTGTTTTGAGCATTTTATTTTTTTTTTTTTACTGACGTTTCCTCATGAAATCACGATTACTATAAATTGTATATGGACCAGAGGACAGTGTGGAGTCTCTGCACTGAAAAATACTTCATTATTATGAAATACCAACAAATAAACAAGCAAAGAACACTGAAATAAACAGCTGAATCACAAGAGATAAACTTTTTTTTTAATTTTAGCTAAAAAAATGTAAATATCTGATTGACACTGACATATTCATAGAAGTTACTTTTTATGATGAATTCACTGCAGCTCTTTCTGCACAACAAGCCTCACTAAACTCGTGAATTAATATCACCTATAAGACCTTTCTGTGCACAACGCCATCATATCTTTGGCTGCAGCTCGCTTCCCAATGTGATTACAGCATATCTTAAATAATATTGTGTTAAACCTCACTGTCTGCAAAGAACCAAGCAGGAACCAGAGTTCTCCTCTGAAAGGAGGAGAAGGAACCAAGTTGTTGATTAACAAGAAAACTGCTTAAAAAAAACGGAAAAACAAAAGAATAAAGCTCGAAAAGGAACGGAAGGTGTCTGATTCGTACAAGAGAGTGAAGAGATTTATTTTAGATTTATTTAGATCTTGAATTACATTTGAAATGTTTTGACTTCACTTACATAATTTGCCTTTTCTTCATTAGGTTTTGGTTAACATCTGGAATATTGTGTGTGTTTTTTTTCCAGTCAGCTTAAAGAAATTCTGCTCTCTGATGTGCACCAAATACTTCTTTGTCCACAATAGAAACCTGCTTAATTAATCGTATTCTTTCCCCCACCGGCATCAGGGTTTTATAGTTTCAGACGGTGAGCCACTGTCAGCTGCAGAGCAGTCCTGAAGGTCAGATCCAAAAATAGCTTCTGCTGCTGCAGAAGGTAGTTGTCTCCAAATCATGACTCATTATTCATCCAACCTTCATTTATACAGGTTAG